CTCCATGCTCAAAAATGGAGAGCTCTTTTTGTTTGGTAATTTTATTCATTGATTCAAAACTTTTAAAAGATATAATTTAGCATGTTGCAAAGTCAAAGTAAAGTAAATTCAAGGAAAAAAAAGAACAATGAAATCAACAAAGTCATTGTGGAGAAAATCTAATTCAAACAAACAGTGTTATTTGCAAAACGACTGGGGATCACATGATGTCCGGTGACTTTTGATAGGCCACTGTACATGTTCTCGCTAATTTTGTTGCAAAAACCAGAATGATGTCGACCATCCCAAATACGGTCATGATTTTTATGTTAGGGAGAATTATGGTTACTCGGTAACAATATCTAAAAAATATACATAGTTCGTCCTTGTGCATCTTCATTCTCCAACAAAATAGATTCATCAACATTGAGTATCTTGTGAAAGGAGATTTTGGGACAATTTACAAAGCAACATACAGTCAGACCTCTCTAAACGAAACCTCCCTAAATGAACGCACTATATTTACCTTCCATTAATGCACACTCTGATTTAGTCACAAGTTTATGAAGCATAAGTATTTACTTTCTGTAAATGCAAGTTTTCTCTAAATGCACGTTATACCCGATTTTTTCTATGCCTTCCGACGACGTGCTCTTAGGGAGGTCTGGCTGTAGTTGGATAGAGAATAAAATGGCATAGTGGTTTTTATGAAGAAAATAATATGGAGAAATAGAAGTTGTGTTGAACTCTTACATAATTCTCTTCACTCCCAAATTTATACATGTAAAAAAATTGTACATTTTCTATCTAAAATGAGGTTTTTTGTTTTTATACAATAAACTATTTATTTATTATAATCAATGATTCAGAAACCTTCACAAAGAAAACATATACATCATGGAGATATATTAATAGGGCTCATTTTGACTTAGCATTCTAACAAATTTAACCAAGAAATTTCTGAGTACTTCTAAATATAAGTTCAGAATACTAAATGCAAAGTAATACACTAACGTTGCAGATATTTATAGCCTTGAGATAAATATGTACGTAATGATAACTGGTGAATGACCATTTGGTGAATGGTTTCATGACATATACTCGTATTGGAGATTTATAATAAAGGCAGTACATGTATCTATTGTTGCCTTCGCAACGAACAATCCCGTGATCATGAATAAGTTTTTTGTGTCTCCATAAATAATGTGTGACGAAATCTAATTAGTACTTTCCCGAAACGCATACGCATAGATTCCAAAAATTCCTACAAAATTTCTTACCTTGTGACGCGTTCTCAAAATTCCTACTTTGTATTATCAACATCGATGCGAACCCAGAAATTTCTACACAAGTTCTCACCTTGTAGTATCAACATTAAAGTTAACTCCCCAACCACCAGAAGTATTTCATTAGAACACTTACTTGCACTCCCAAGATGATGATTATTGTCATAGAATCTTATTTAACAATCTGTATTTTAAGTTCCTCCTTATTGCGTGATCCATAATTATTATTAATTTTAGACAACAAATCAATAATCATTTTTTATTATTATTGTTAGTTACTTTCTTTTCTTTACACAAATATTTTACATTAGATTTCATTACATTATTTATTTTATTGTACTCTACTGACTCGCAAAAATCTGTAATCTACGAATTGTCCTTTAGATAGCTGTGTAATAACGGTAAAAGATTGTGTAATGACGAAAATTGTATACATGTATATAGAATAACAATCAAAAGATTGTAAAAAAGGCAAAATTGGTTTGAATAAAATAACTATTAAATTTAAATTTGATACTTACCTGATTACGTTTCGGTTTTTATTTCTTTTGTACAAAAATGAAATTGATAGCTTTGATTCTATTTGTGCTTAACAAATTAAAGGCTTTATTGCTTTGGCCATACCAAGTTGATGCGATGTATTTATTCCTGAGATATTGATTTTATTATTTTGATGCTGATATTAATAATTTTATTTTATTTTATGCTTTGACTTCTAAACTTTATTATTGTATTAGTTACTTTGTAATCATATTATTTTAAACCTTACCTGCACAATCTCCGTGAAAGATTGGTATAGGGAGACCTTTAGAACCCTAGTGAAACCCACTTCGAGTAAATCATTTAGTCGTCGCTCCCGCCCCTTGTCCACATTCTACTCCGTTAGTCAACCTAACTTTCGAATTGAGTGTGACATTACAATAGTCCCAGATGTTACAATTTATTCTTTAAAAATATAGGGAACTTATTCCAGAAAACAGACCAACTACTGAGGAACTTTGAGACTTTATCAGTGGATGATATAATAGGAAAATGAAATAGAATAACTTGCATTTTCAGTACTGGAACCATTATAGAATATGTACATGTTCTTCGCTAAATCTTCATTATCGAAATGACAGCGGGTTGTATTTCTGTCCCACAAACTGCTGCACAATCAGTCACGTTATAGCGTGTTCTTCAGTGCATTTTTCAGCACAATCCGTCGCGAATTATTGAACAGTTTTCAGTGTGATTAACGAATATTGCAGCGTAATTATATTTTACTGTTTATTATATCGTTTGTCTTATTTTATCGATGCAATAAGAATTATATATCGCTAATAGATTTAAAGTAGTATTTTAATTATTAACAATATATATATATATATATAAAGATTGGCTCTTGTGCCATCAATAAAAAATAAACATAAAATTGCTTACAATCTTTATCCAGTAAAGATACACTTGTAAAAATAATTCTCTTTGTTGTAATCGTTGTTTGGTAGTTAGGTCCTTGATCAAGAAAAGGCAACGCATCATTAATTGATTCGAATAATCGAATCGAATAGTTTAAGCCTTTAACTAGAAATAGCATTTATTCGAATTAGTTAATAAGAATAATTTATATGAAATTTAATCTCTTTCTCCATTTTCAAATAACTTACCCAAATAATCACGAAATTTCCCAATTCCCATGTCCAAATCATCTTATTCGCTTATTTTTTCCCGTACGATCAATTGGTGACAGTACAACTCTTTAGAAAATAACCTAAAACTAACTAAAGAAATTGAGAAGTTTATTAAACAAGAAGGAAAAGTTAAACTGACAAAAAACCATTCCTATAATGCGAACAAAAAGCAATAAATTTACACCAGTCGGATCTTTACTTCAATACCAACTGATTATATTCAATTTCAGATTGATCTAAATTATATCAAATGTTTAGTTTATATACCTGTTCGTTCGTATATTTTAATCGAAAATATTTGTTTGCATATCCATATAACTCAAGAATATGTAACCACAAAATTTAATATAGCTAATCAACAAACATTAGTTTATATATACCAAACGAAACAATGAAGGTAAATTATTAAAATATAGTTATACAAGTAATGGATGTGATATTGATGCCAAATTTAAAAATGCCAATTATTAGTTATAGACAAGTCAAATCACTATTCTTTTAATTCATTATTATTTTCTTTGATTCAAAACACATGCAGATAAAATGCGAGTGACTTACAAGAAAAATTAAAATAGTAAATACTCGCTATCAAGAAAATGATCATTGTAATGAATGTTTTGATTATCACTAGCAACTTTATCATTATAATTATCGATATCTACAGTCTAACGCTAATAAAAGAAAAGAATGCATAAAAATCAGAAGGCATTCCAATGAATCCCTTTTGAAAATTAATCAATGTTAAATATCTTGCAAAGGCACTCATAAAGCATCTATAAGAGATTATAAAAAAATTTGATGATAAGGATAAACAGGAAATTAAGTAATTCAAAGCAAATTATAAAAGAAATGAAAATTCTATATTTTTTAAATGGTTTTAATAACTTAATTGCATTAGAAAACAAAAAAGTAATATTTATATTTTAAATTAAAATGATAATTACTTTGGAATAAGTTATTGTAAAATAACTAAAATTTCAATTATAAATGAATATTCAATAATGATAACTTATGCAAAGATGATTTTTGTTAACATATTAAATATGAAAGCTAAAAATATTTACGTTGGGTTATACATGTACTAATTGATTAACAAAAATCATATAATTTTGATACTTTTTATGATAAAAATTATTTAACATAGATATGTTGTCATTTATGTTCTGAATTTAACAGAGGTCTAATAAAATTTTTGAACTATTTTTATTTTTTAAAAAAATCTCTATTACATTAAAATATAGGACGCCTAAATGATTTCTAATAAGTTAATATCTAAATTATTGAATAGACAGTTTGAAATATGTTAGCTTTTTATATTATCTTTGTAAGATCCATTATATTTCAAATGTATCTCCTCAATAATAATTTTTTACTTTTGCTTAATATCAAATAGATGCTATATATTAATGTAAAGAGAGCTTTTTTTAAAGAATTACAGTAAAAATCCTCTAAATACATGGTATGACTCAGTTTTCTATAAGACCTCATGCATTTTACTCTCTATGAAAGCATACATTGTGCCATTTTTTTATATGGAGCGCGTTAATTATTTATTATAATAATAATAATAATACGATGTTTTATGCTATTACCTAATGAACCGACTTTCAGCAGTTGACAATATAATCCAGGAGACTGTACGCTTCTCTACAATGTATTATTGGAAATATCAAAAATCAAAATATCATTTGGAATCCAATGTCTAAAAATCCAGTGATCCCATTTAAATGGAGATATTACCATAAAATTTGTGAATTCGAGACAGATCTAATGTAAGTATTTTATTATAAATTGAATCATTGGATTTTGAGATATTGGATTCCAAAGTGGCAGATTCGTTTTTAGAGCTTCAATAATATATTGTATGGGTGTATACAATCAAGTGAGCTATTGCCAATGCGTATTTCACTTCATTCATTCATTTATTTATTGATTGAATAAATCAGCAATAATTGAATTTAATATGGAACAACATGTGTATACATGTATATTGATTTACATAGACATCGAATACCCCAATGGGACATGTTTGCATGTAGCATAAAAATTTCATGTTCGATGTGTTTTACAATTCAACCCTCGAATGATCCACGGATGCTACAAAGTAAGTGTATTCATCACGAAGAGCTTTTGGGAGATGATTAACAATCAATTCTGTGGGATCATTCACTCTCTTCCATGAGCCGTCCAACCCGTCGTCATTATAAGTCTTGATTAAATCTTCATTTGCTTGAGGAATGAAATTAGGATCCTTCTTAGATATAACGATTCCTTCTTGAAAAGTTTTTCGAAGCAAAAATGATTTTTCCTTGAGTTTATCTTTAAGAATGTTGAAATTGTCCGTCTTGGAAATTATGACCGTGACAATATCAGATAAGCGAACAGATTCTTTATCGTGAATCAGGCAGTTTAGCCTAACTAAGTCAGTGTCACCGGCCGTCGCAACTCCTAAGAGCAGTTGAAGCGAGAGAGCAAAAACCAAAACGAAGTGTGTCTTCTTTAAATACCTAAAATTGCATCAAACCATAATTATATAACTTATAAAATATGTGCATCGTAAATTTAAAAAGAAAAACTCACATTTGCAGGGTATGTGAGTATATCGTTAGTTCTAAAAAATCATTTAAAACAAAGCAAAAAATCAGTTAAAGCTTTAAAAGATTAAAACAAAGTAATAAACTAATTTTACTTTTCAAAAAGAATTTGTAAAAATTATTTTTTGAACGTAAAGATGAGATTTTGATTTTCACCCTTTTTATAGATAAATTTACGTCGGTAATTATGCGCACTTCTAACATACTAATGTCTTCACAGTTAACATCATCGAACATTGGATGCGTTTGTTCAGATGAAAATGAAATTGAACTCCGCGCACATTGTCTTACAGGTGGCTATTTTCATGCAAAGGTCATGGAATTCACAATAATACAAACATTTTAGGAAAAAAAGTTTATTGAAAAGCGATATGGGGAAAAACTCCCGTATTCCGTTCGCCTTTAAACATACCTATATGCGAAAATCTATTATTTATTCATGTGAACAGTTTCAACTGGTTAAATCTAGTTTAAAGTGACAAAAGAATACTTGTCTATTATATGCATAAACTGCTGATTGAGAAAACTTATCATTGATTTAGAGTTTATCGTTGTGTGCACGAGCATGCCGGTTAAGAAAGTTACATGTACCTAGTAATTTGTCTACTCATTTAGAATTTATATGCACGAGCTAGACCATTGTTTTTTGCACGACATATGTAAAGAGGTCTTTTTTTATTAAACTTGTTTGCATATAACATCTTGATCATGATCTGAAAAAAATTCATCACCTGTGTTCAAACAATTCAAATTTTCCTTTTACAGGAAATGCAAGTGAAACTTGTTTACATACCATACACCGGAAAAATTACTTTTAAACCCTGCTGGAATTGGTGAAAATGAAGTTGTGATATGGTGACATACAATAAACTTTCATTATAGTCAGGCCTTTATGTGACTATTACGGATTGTGACTAACGGAAACTTTCAAAATCCCGACAGTTCATAAGCTTGACAAACGAAATCTCGAATGATTGAAATCCTAAAAGAATGACATCCCACATGATAATTTTCATTTGGGATTATAATTCGGTTCGGGATTTCGTTTATCGGGCTTATGAACTGTCGGGATTTTGAACTCCACCGTTAATCACAATCCCATAATAGACACATAAAAGCCTGACTGTAGCGAGAGTTTATTGTGTGACCCCATATCACACTTTCATTATCACAATTCCAAAAGTAATTTCTAAAAGCCGGGTATGTAAACAAGTTTCTCATACATTTTAATATAAAGAAAAATTTGAATTGTTTTCATAGCATGATCAAGATAATATATGTAAACAAGTTTCATCAAAAAAATGATCGCTTTACATATGTCAATAGTCTAACTTAGAGATGGGCAAAATGTAATCAACGATGGGCTTTTCTATTCACTATCGAAATATGGCATATAGTGATCGAATAATGATAAGCAAAATGTCCGTCTCGTGCATAGAGATACATATACATGTACATGTATAACGATAAGCTCGGCGGTTCATGCATATATAATAAACTCTAAAACTATGATAAACAAGACAAATTTCTAGATAAGTTCTCTCAATAGCAGCTGTGCAATATAGATGTACATGTAAGTTCCAAAGCAATAGACAAATTCCTAAATAAGTATTTCTTTTTTTTCAATTAAACTAGATTTAACCAGCTTAAAATGTTCCCATGAATAAGTAGCAACTTTTTTAGTATAGAACGTAAAGTTTAATTTATACGGACGGAATACGGGAGCTTTTAACCCCAAATCGCTATTTGCAGATACATGATCTGTCAATGCGCTTTCCAAAAATCTTTTTCCTAAAATAATTGAATTATTGTGAGTTCCATGACCCTAACATGAAACAGATACATGTACTTGTAAGTCAATGCCGTGGAGTTCTTTTTTCATTTTCATATGAAAAAGCTCATTTAACGATGTTAATTTTAAAGAAATTAGTATGTTAGGAGTGCTCGTAATTGCCGACGTAAATTTCTCTTGTGTAAAAAGAGTTAAAATCAAAACCTCATCTTTATGGTTAAAAAAGAATTTTTATAAATCCTGAAAAGTGAAAATATGTTTGCTTTTTAGAAATTAACGATACGCTCACACACCCTGCAAATGTGATATTTTTAATTTATATAAATATGGTTTAATACAATTCTAGGCATATAAAAAATACACACTTCGTTTTAGTTTTTGCTCTCTCGTTTCAACTGTTTTTAGGCGTTGAGGCGCCCACTGACTCCATAAAGATAAATTGCCTGATCCACGATACAGAACCTGCTCGCTTATCTGCAGGTCGTAGTTTCCAAAACAGACAACTTCAACATAAACTCAAGGAAAATTTATTTTTGCTTCGAAAAGTTTTTCAAGAAGGAATCGTTATATCTAGGAAGGATCCTCATCATCGTCCTCAAGAAAATGAAGATATAGTCAAGACTTATAATAGTAACGGGTTGGACGGCTCATTGAAGAGAGTGGATAATCCAACAGAATTGATCGAAATAGTAGTTGCAAAAACCATCGAGTGTAGATAATGTCTTAAGTTCCAATCATAAGATCGGAATATTATTACACTACGCATTTGCTTTAGCGGTCAAAAATTCTTAACCGGTTTACAAGAAAATTTTTTAGATATAATTTTAATAAATATGTTTGATATTTAGTAATAGAAATACTGTAGAATTTGGCTTTTTAAAAAATTTCGTGATAAGCGTTCGATTGTGTAAATTGCATTTTAATGGGTTGTTCTTTAAAGCTATTAATTTTTTCCATTTTCTTATCCTTAACTTTGTTAAATTCTTTCCATTTCTGTTGTTCTAGTTTAGCACACTCTTTAATTTCTTCATTTGTTTTAGGATATTCTAAAGAACTGCAGAACTGTGCTGCAAAGTATTCGGTTTCCCTCAAACTATAGTTGATATAGTCGTCTTCACAGATAAAGCCAAAAAGATTTTTCAATACATGTAATAACGATAAAATTTGTGTATAGAATGTTGTTCCCGCGCAATATCGATTTCCATATTCGAACCATTTTTGCTTTTAAAATCTAATATAATATCTATTCAAAATAATATATCTGAAAATATTTTGTAAAAGCAAAAGAATAATGTATGTATAGAGTAGTCACAACGAATTAAAGAAAGATGTGCTTAAAAAGTGCTTGTTAAGCTATAATTAATATAAATGACTTACTTATTTACAGAATTCCTTTATATAATTACTTTTGATCCACTAAAGCCAACATATATCCATAAATAATGACAGGATCTTTGTACCAGAAAAGATTTATGTTATTTTTATTTATATGATTATTATTCTGATTAATTGTTATAGAAGTTATGATTTTTGTTTATAAGCTAAATTAGAACTTTATAGATTGCAAAGAATCTTTTATATTAATTAAATAAAAGATTTATAAAATTATAAATATTTGTATTATTCTCTTTACTAAAAACATTTCATAAATAATTCTTGATTAATATTCATAATAATATTAGTATATTCTTTAATTTTATATTTCTCATAATATTTAATAAATCACATAATATTATTAATTTATTATAAAAAATTTGTATCATTTTAATACTCTTTTCATAAAGTTTATTAAAATTAAGATAAATACTGCAACTATTATAATAGTTATACTATTAAAACAATCAAGTTAATATTTAATCAGATACTCTATAAAATTTTCAGATTCTGAAATCAAAAGTAAATAATTTATTATATATAATAAAGAAAATTTTATATTAAAAAAATTAATAATTAAAATAATAATTAAATAACAAAAAATATTAAAGATCTAATTCAAATACTGATTTAATTTATTAATATAATAATATTAAACTTGTATAATAACTAGATAGATTTTAATATTAGTTAAGAAATTTTATAAAAAAATTAAGATATATATATAAATAAGTAGATATAGAATTTTAAAATTACTTGAATTAATAAAATTATAAATAAAAAAAATTCAAATTTTAAAAATCATCTTAAAAATTTTGTAATAATATAATTTAATTAACAAAATATAAATAATATAACTTGATTAATTAATTGATTTAATAATAATTATAATAAATAACTTAATTTAAATTAATATATTATATTATTAGAAAAATAAAATAATAAAAAAATATAATAATAGATTTATTTAACTAACTAAAAAAATTGATTTTAATAATAATTATTTAAATAATTACAAAATTTAAAATTATAAAAGAGAATTTAAATCAAAAATTAAAAAAATAAACAAATAGTAATTTAATAAAATATGAAATAATATTATTAATATAATAAATATATAGAAAAAATTACATAAAAAATTAATAAAATCTTATTATTAACTATAAATAATAATAATAAAAAATTTTAAAATAATAAATTTAACTTTTTTAAATTTAATAAATAAATTAAAACAAGTTGAAATTCCAAGAAAATCTAATAAAAAATCTAGAATAATAAAATAAATCAAAATTTAGAAAGTTAATTAATTTATTCTAAATATAATATAATTAATATCAAAATTCTTTTAATATAAGAAATAATTAGATAAATAATTATAAACTTATTTATTTATTTAAATAAAATTAAATATAAATTAAATAATTAATAAATACTTATAACTTTATTATTTGAATAATATTTAATTTGAAGTTAAAAATATAAAATAAAGTAATATATTTTAAATATTTTAATATTAATAAAATAATAATATAAGTTATAAATTTGAATTAAAACTATTATTTTTAATTAAATATACTATTTAAATTTTATTTAATTTTAATTTAAAGAATACTAGTAAAACTCAATTATATATAAAAATTTAAAATTTAAAATTAATTTACTAAATAATTTCAAAATTAAAATTTATTTAATATGCTAAATTTAAGAAATATTTTAATAAGTTTAATAAAGATAATTAATAATAATTAGTTTAATTATTAAGTAATAAAAAAGTGAATTATTTTTAAAATAATTTTAATAAATATAAAGAAGATTATACTTATATATTTTAAAAAAATTATATTTAAATTTTAATTATTTTATTAAAAATTTTTAATATAATCTCTTTGAAACTTAATATTTTAAAGTTTTAATAATAAAAATCAAATATAAATTTAATATATTAGAATTTAAAGAATTAAATAGTGAATTTTATATTTAATTCTTATTAGAATCTAAAAATTTGAATTTTAAAAAAATTATATATATATGATACTTATATATAATTTTATTTATTATATTTTAGAATATTATATTTAAAAAATATTTAAATTATTTTAAGTTTTATTATTTAATTTCTTTAAAATATAATATTTGATTTTTTATATTTTGATAAATTAATAATAGATTTTATATTTAATTTTATAATTTTAGCTTGAAATATTAAGCTTTAAAAATTTAATTGCTATATGAATTAATAAATATTTGAAGATATTTATATTATATATTATATATTTATATACAGTTAGATCTCTTTAAGTATATTCTTTCTGTAACCTTTTGTTACGTAAGATAATATATCCAAATAATTCACATAAAAAAATCAAGATATAATATTATATTAAGAAAGTTCACACAGAAGATTCAAGATATAAGTAATATAATTTGAAATAGAATTCACACAGAAAACTAAATCAAAAGCAGACAAGAGATTATATTTAAAACTTATTCTTTATTCTTATATTTATTATTATTAAAATTACAAAACAGATATAGTATCTTTAAATAATAAATTAATGTTACATAAAATTAATAATAAGATAAATAAATTAATAATAGATAATACTTATATGATAGTATCTCTGGAAGATATTTATTAATAAATAAATAAAGAAATAAATAATTATAAATGAAATATATAAATTTAGTAATACGCTAGCTAAATTAGTAGAACAAGAGAAAAGAGAAATTTTACTAAGAAACTATCTATAGTTAAAATAACTTAAATAAATCAGATAACTTTTCTTGGCATGATCAGATGATTATAGTGTAGTAAGTTATTTGTGACATAGTAACAATCTGCAAGATAAAAGATAAATATAATATAATTATTAATAACTAATCTAATTTTATTACAAAATTATTTACATATAGTAATAATTTATAACTAAAATAGATCTTATTTTTATATAATATATTCAGAAGTTATGAAGTTATACACAATTTTCTTATTTTTTAAATTTTACTATATAATATATTATAAAACAGAAAGTCAGAAAGATGAAATTATTATTACAAAAAAATCTAATCACATATATATTAAGATCTTTAAGACTGTAAGTTATACATATTAAAAGTATATGAGCTTAAAAAATTATCTAAAAAATAAGTAGATTATCTAATAATTTATAATAAATTTATATGTAATTATCTTAAAACTTTAGCAATCTAAAATAAAATTCTTGTTATTAAACTTTTTTTCAAATTATATAAAATATTAGAATTATTATAAATCATTTTATAAATAAATAAATATCAGAATCTTCTATAAATAAATATAATTAATTAAAAAAAATTATTTAATATTTCTTTTACCATTTCTTTCTTATAAAATAATATAATTATTTTTTAAATAATTTTTAAGCTTATATACTACTAATATATAAATTACAAAATAATTTATTATTATTATAGTAATATAAAATTTTTTAATTCTATAATTTTTCTTTAATTATATAAAATTTCATATTTTTATAATTTTATAATTTATTCTATAATTATTCCTATTTTTTTATAATTATATATTTATTTTTCTTATTATATTTACTTTTTATAATTATATTTTTATTTTTAAATATTATATATTATTTTCTTTATATAAGATCTATATTTTTAACTTATTTATTATATATAATTTATATATTTACTATAATAATATATTTAAAGATTCTTTTTAAATTTTTAATGAAATAATGAAATATCTATATATATCTATTAACATTAATATTTCAAATATTCACAAATATTTATATATATTTATAAATATTGATATTTTAAATATTTTTCAATATTTTCAAATATCTATCTTTTTAATATTAATATTTAAATTATTAGTACTTTAAATTATAATTTCTTATAATATCAATATATATCTTTAAATAGTATAAATTAGTAATATTATAATAATTTATATATTTAAAAAATATATAAAAGAATCTGCTATTCTAGCTAAAATAAAGTAATTTTAAATTAAATTATTTGAAAAATATAATTAAAAAACTTATTATTATAATAATAGTAATCTTTTTAAAAAAGATTTCTTTTCTAATTATATTAATACTCTTTCTTTTACTTGATTTTATTTATTTAACTATATAAAGTTAATTTTGATTTGAATTATAATATTATATTAATTTTTGATTTTTGATATTATTTAGAAAGTAAAAGATCTTTATTATAAATAAGCTATATTTTTATTTTATTTATTTTATTATTTAAAGAGTAAAAGATTTTTACTATAAATAAGTCATACTTTTTTTGATTAGTTATTTTGTTATTTAATTTAGTTTTTATTTTTTTCTTAATT